CATCGTCCTTTCGTACCTAAGCCGATGCGACGCCAAGTGTTCCAAGCCCCTCAAGTCTTTCTCATCCTGGTTAGCGTGCAATACGTAAACCGATCTGAAGTCATTATGCTTAGCCTGCTATGCATCGCGGGTTTACACAGTGGACTCAAAATTGCATAAGCTGTCAAAAATCAAAGGTGGACAAACACAGCACGACCCCTCTTGGACAATTTAACGTTCCCGATGCCAGGTTTGATCATGTATACGTTGACATTGCTGGACCCTCACCGCACTCGAAGGGTTTCCGTTACCTTTTGTCTTGCGTTGACATTTCTACCCAATGGCAGGACGCTTTTCCAATGCAAGACATCTCCGCCGAAACCATAGCCAGATCATTAGTGGACATATGGGTCCCCTTAGTTGGAGTCCCCTCCACCATCACCACAGATCGAGGAACTCAGTTTGAATCAGGCCTGTTCTAAAATCTCACATGACTTCTGGGGATGAACCGCATTCGAACATCCACCTCCCACACTAAGTCAAATGGCATGGCAGAACGTTTTCACCGCCCACAGTGACCTATCTCGTTGGTCGGATGTGTTACCCCTCGTGCTACTCGGTATTCGATCAGCCGTAAAAAATAACATTGTAGATGGCTCTTAGAGGTGGTCTGTTCAATTAGGTCGAAATCAAAGAATGAAGTTTACTTTATATGCTACAAAAACTGTTAAATGACAAAATTTGCAATAACTTTGAGGTAACACTTCAGATTTGCTATAGTTTTTTTCAAAGGAAGATTCGAATAAATTGTCAGCAAGACTGCAAAATGCGGACAAAATATTGCAACGATAACACCATGTCCAGCCTGATTTTGCACACTTGAGGATCGTTTGTCGTAGGGCTTTTTAGAGCTTAAGCAGAGTCTAAGAAAGCAACGAGGTTGTTGTGATTCGAGTTTATTCAACGCCTTATCCGGTCGCTCCACCTCCTACATAGGGCTCCCCATTTCGCAGCATGTCGCCAACCTAGCGAAGCCTCAACTCCCCCTTCATTAGCACAAATATTTATCTTGGAGCATCCCCACACCTAGGTCTCGACGTTAGCGCATGTACGACTTACGCATCCAAGCTATAAATCCAAACGCGCAAACCCCACACCTGACACAACGACACCAGTTTTGATTGAGCTCTGAAGTTAGCGGTTGTGTCCGTCCTCTCCGGTCTTTTTCTTCATCGCGGGTATCAGGCAAGCGTAATCGGGCCAGGGTTAATTTCGTGGCCCCGGCGTGGTTCAAGACCACATGCTGGGGCACACAACAAGGTAGGTGCTTGGGTGGCAGAGGAAAAAATATAAAATCCGGTGCCTTTATTTTAAAATTTCAGATGAAAGATGCTGCCATTAAGGTAAGAAGGCATCAGTACGGGCATTATTCAAACGCTTCCTTCAATTCACTAATATAATAGATGCACCTACATTGCTTTGGAAGTGAAAATTTTTACTTGGATGTAAAGTTAATCAAATTAAAATTTAAAACCGATAGCTGAGATCGGAGTAAGCACACAACCTCGTGTTTATCTTTTTGCAATAAGATCGCTCACATCCTTTGATAAGGAGTGAGTCAACTGTAAAACATCCCAAGTTTAGAAAAAAGGAGACGTTATTGGCACCTTATTATGACTAAGTTTATTCCATCTTAAGTTCACTTGTCGGCATGAATGTAGTAAATGATGAATCCAGACTTCAGTGACAGCTGAAGGTTTGATGGTAACATTAATTTTATGAAAAGGTATGCATAAGCCTGAAATAATTCGTCCATGCTTAAAATTTGCTGCTCGTCTTGTGCTTTTCATTCATAATGATGTTGATAGGAAAATACCTAACCCTGCCTTCTTTCTCTTAATTGCTTCGTTTAGATTAGGCAATTGTGAGTCTTCACCCAATCATCTCAAAACAAAAAATGGGAATTTTTCCATGGCTCATGGAAATCACGGTGTCAGTGATCTTAGGCAAACTGCGTTTAAATCTACTTACATTTGATGATTCATTGCTGGATAATACCCCAACGAATCCGTCAATTCTTTGTTGCACACTCTTGTGAGATTTTAAAATGCCTCCTCTTTAATGAATCAATTTTGTGAGGCCTATCTGGAGCTACAGTTACACTAGACTATCAGATGATTTACCTGCTGAGAGACGGAGTGCATTCTTGAGAATGGTTTTGTGAACAGTGCAAGCTCTTAATTGTTGTCATTTTAGTCTTGCTGAAGCAAACACACACATTCACAAAGCCAAGACTGATTCAAGGCACCCACCACCAACACTTGAAGAGTTTCTTCAATTATGAAGAGACGTGAGCACACACACACACACACCGCTGCCTACTTGCATGCCACTCTTAGGCCCCTCCGCTGCTGGGTGGTCGGGGGTTCTGCAGATTAACGGCTTGGTAAGAGATGTTTAGCATCATAAGGAAACGCGAAAGGCTTACTTGCATTTAAGGGAACAAACGAAATACCCCAGCACTTGCGTGACTGCTTAATTTGAATAACTGGAACGGGAAGAGTACTACCTGTATATGCCATATCGAGGAAGTGAAAGTCGCGTGGTGCAAAATTTCTGATCCAGTAAATTCATTATCACACGATATGATAGGGTTTTAAATAAGTAAGCGGCTGCAAAAATATCACCATATTTAATCCTTCCTGTGACTGCTTTGGAAAAGGCATTATCATTTGTCCTGAATTCCTCTCGACTCGCCACACGACCTTATAAAAAAAAGTCTTGAAACTGATGGGGGATTAATTTGTCTGTCCTACAACTGAAAATGATGTGGTCCCAGTTCGTTTCCGAGAAAATTCACCGTAAAATATTTATTTCCTTTAAGGTTTATTGCCGGAAAGTACTTTTCGTGCAAAGTTTCACTTGTTTTTATGCTGAAGTCCTGACTCGTGTCATCGAAGAGTATGTGCTGGCAACGAATTAGAGTGGTTCATTGATTGACCACAATTAGAATAAGATGGTAGTGTGATTCAGTGGCGATTGCATGTCATAAGGTGGGTAATATCAGTGCAACTAAAGTACCAGACTTACAGACACTAAGTGATAAGTCGACATATGTTTTTATTTTAATAGATTTTTAAATTGATAAACTTTTGACTGGAGGCGCAGGTCATGGAAATACAAATAAATTGCATAATACTAAACTAAACTTAACAAATAGCAAGATTTTAAAGCGTTATCGAAAGGGTTGCCCCTTGGTGATGGGGCAGAGAAGGATATAGGAAATTCAAACTAATAGAATGTTTAAATCAAAAAAACCCTTTACCATAAAGCATCAGTTAGTGCATTCAGGATCATAATACTTAGTATAATTTCTGTAGAAAACTCCTGTTGATGCTAGTCTAAGGTACCGAGAGCCCATTGGCTCAAAAAATACATAGGAAAATCCAAGGTGTGCGGCTTCGAAGCGAAAAATAGTCACACGTTTGCCCACGGTTATCCAAGTCCGATAAATTTGACGATTGTCTTCTGCTGGAACTCATTTCATTTGGTAAGAGCCTATGAAGTCCCAGTTTTGTTTTACAACATCAGAACAGAAATTTCCACGAGCTACAGTTTCCATGATTAGCATTTCTTGTGATTTCATTAAAATATGTGTGCCGGTTAAGGTATTGTTCAATAATAATCACTCCATTTTCAGAAACGACACCATTCTCGAGCACATTATAAGCAATCGCATATCCTACGATGTAATTACATATAATAGGCTTCATTGAGTTGAAATCGAAACGATATATTTTCTTTTCCGGCAACTATTTTGTAAATTGGATGAATTGAAGGTCAGACAACGTTTTAAAAGGAAAACAATCGATTCAAATATTAAATTTTGCCGGAAATCAGGTGTATATTTGATTTTGGATTCCCCGATAATATGACCATGAGAGTCCCGATGGAGATAAGACATTTTTTACGGGAATGTGCCCACGCATGGGCGTTTAATCTATTTAAACATCAAGAGCCAGGCATTTATCAAAGCAATAAAGTGACGCCAATTCCATCAATGGAATTAGTGTGCGTCAGTTTGCATGTGTGCGGGTTATCATGACAAAATACCGTGAAGTGAACTGTGTAGTAAGCAATTGGCTCCTCGTGGAAGTTCATCTCCCTCCTAGCCTCTTAATTTTTTGCAGATTTAGACAAAAGTATAATTTTTTTCTTTTTTGGTAGCTAAAGTGTGTTTAGTCTTATTCCATTTGATCCTCCTTGCTGAAAGGAAATGGCTGTCTACGTCACTAAAAGACAGATCTATTGCGGTTTTCCACTGTGGCCTTGACAGACATTTACTTATCAGGGTATATAAAATTTATCAGCTCCGAAGTGTTTACTATTCAAATTGCATCAGAATTACACCCTTTAGTTAAGTGAAGAATTCTGACCTTTTTCCTTACTCCCATGCTTACAATTTTCCATATTTATATCGACCGCCCCCATCTCATTGGCACACTCCATTTTAAATGTGGTTTTTAACAAGGATGTAGATACTTAGGAAACTGCATGTACTAACTCGGCAAGATAATAAAAGCTATAACAGAGGCCGTCATGCGTCTTTCTTTTGCAAGAAGCTTTTGTCATAGACGAGGGACATTATCCGGGAAAGTGTATTTGGTTACAGGCGTATGTGACTAACCAGCTGAACTTGTCCTTACAAGACGATGCACTTGTCGAATGCTATGGATAAGAGGGCAAATACTTTCCAGTAGGCTTGAGGTTTTGAACTAGATGTGAAGCTGAGGTGCAAGAAAAATGTTTCACAGGTTGCAACAACACTTCTAATCACTTATGCTCTTGAGCTTCAGGCTTAATAAATTTTGCCTGCAAGCATGGTATCGCTGCTTAAGATTAACTAAGTGGATAAAATATTAACAACAACTTTAATAAAAATCAGAAAAGTGCCTCGTGTAAAAAAATATGATTGAAGTTCGCTGGTAAAAAATTCTCTTCGTTTTCAAAGGGTCAGGTTCTCAAATGGACCGGCGGATTTGAATACGAGAAGACTTTTTGTTTAGCTTGTAGGGATTTGGCAGACCTGCATGGACGGTTGAGAAATGACGTCCCAGGTCCCAACTCCACTTGTAGCAGTTACTGCAGATTATGCAGGAGTAGGGTCTCGAATTATCGTGCACCACCATGTGTTTCTGCAGTTCCGTTGGCCACTTGGCGCAATAGTTGCACCATGGACAAAAGTGGCCTTTCCGCGAACTCTTGCCCATTCCCTCTGTTCGCGATTGGCTGCGCATTTCTATAGGGTGTGGAGCCGGGATCCTGTTTGATACGTCTGCAGATACCAGGGGTTGTTTTTGGGCCCGCGGACGATCACACAAATGCTGTTTCTGAAGGTCAATTAGGGTTGGATTGCTTAGGCTTATTTCCGATTCTGTTTTCATTTTCTACACGGTGTCTCCGACACCACTAATTTCACTTCTTGACCATAAACAAAGCTTAAGCGGTTTTTCAAATTTTGTTCGTTCCATAAATTGGAAGGTGGAATTCAAGTGATGATTTCACATAACATTGAAACACATTTCAATACGACTAACTGTTAGTAAACCACGTTCAGTTACGCTAAATACAATACTTCTTCCCAATGGACCAGAATCTATTAAGTCAAACATTTTGGTATGTTAGTCAGGAGACAGTTAAGAATCGCGAAAACTGCATCTTCCATGGGGAGTTTAATGGGATTGGGAGCCGCATGAGGTCATAACCCAATAAACTACAGTTTGATTGGCATCCTAGAAGGTCGGAGTCAAGAAAAGAAAAGAACTGGTGGTATAGGTTGCAATTCATAATTCAACCTACTGAAAGTTAATAAAAACCTGGATTCGTTGAAACGCCTACAGGTTTCTATGTAGCTCTATTATCATTTTAAGCTTGGTTGTTTACCACCAGGTAATCTTATCACATAAAGGATATTAATTCAAACGCGCTTTAAAGTTAATAATTATCAAACTATTTAGTAATGCTAAAAAAAATAAGAATTCTCCCTCGAAATTGAAAGGTGTCAAAGCAGTGGCCCATCACTAACAAAATGTTATTTAAAAACTATTTATTACGTTACTTTATAAAAACAATTCAGCCGATATATTTTGACTAGCTCTTGCCGTTAGTGTTATTAATTGGATGTGTTAGAAAACCTCAGAACTTTGTAACCTCTACCAAAAAAACTTGAATAAAGATTTCGCTGATTTAAGTCGCAAGTTGGATAAGCACTTTGACTTGATAATTTTAGACAAATTCGAACTTTAACACCATAGATTAACAGAATAGAATTCTATAATATCTGTATTCAACCATGGGTTTCTGCAAACTCAAGTCTGATTACTCTCGTCGTTCTGGAAAGCGTTGCCGCAAGAAAATCCCTAATGGTCTGTTCGAATTTTCAAAAGAACCCCTGTGGATCCATGAATTTTATAACCAATAGAGAGCATATGGACGCTCATGTTGCAATAAAAGCCCCTGAAATACTGCTTCGTAGTTTCATAGCGATTATCATGTAGGATAACAAACTGGCTGATACTGAATCTGTCTCCCCGTTGCAGTTTGAAATCTGGCTTAATGGTCGCGGAATTTCTTCCTGTGTTAAGATCTCTAGTCCGTTTACAATACCAGCGAGCTTAATCTTCATGCCTGCCAAGTGTATATTTCATCATAATTCAACAAAGACGGATGACACTGACAGATGCCAAGTTTGCTATTGCAACGATGTGCGACTATACCTGGTGGTTACCATATTAATTAAAATCATGGATGATTTTTCGAATGTAGAATGCGAAACAGGACGTTAACTGTGTAGACTTAGGGAGGAGAGATAGTGAAATTATTAACCTACCCGATTTGTTGCCTTGCAGCCTCGAAGCTGCCTCTTAGTAAGTGCCGCAGTCCACTCACGTTCCAGCAATTCCTTGTGTTTTGAGATGTAATGCTGGTTCAGTTCACTCATCTTGGGAAAAGACTTGAGGCACGCTGCGCACACCGAAAGTCCCTTCCAGCCAGCACGACGTCCACATGGTTGAATCACGTCATGGCTCTCCCTGACCTTGGTCGGAACTATGAGGCCACAGCAGTTTGAGGAATCGAGGGGTACACTCCATGTCCTGGGATCCAACTGATCCGCCCTATTAGATGGCCGGGAAGTTATGCTGCAGGAACAATTATGCGTCTTACTAAACCCACCTTACAAAAGCTGATTTCGGTTTCTGATCCCTGATGCATAAATTTACAGGCACGTCAACTGGTTGTTTGTCAGGTAAAGTGAACGACTCCAGAATATTCCGGGATTTCTACAAAAATAACTATTGGCTGATTTTTATTTCTCTCACATCGCGGAAGTTCCTGTACAGTAAGAAAGGAGGGGGAATCAGACAGTTAAATCCCCGAGGGATGTTGGCAAATAGGCTGGTTTCTTTGAATTGAAAGTCCCGAAGTTCCTGCACAAAAGAATTTAAATCCATGACTACTTATGGTAAATGCTTATTCGTTTATATAACACCTTAACTGGTTAGGCGCTGAGCCGTGCGCAATCAGGTGAGCGCCAAGCCAATCGTTTTAGCGAAAGCGCGCCTGGAGGGGAGCATTTAGGCTAACACATTCTCACTAACGCTTAACCGACCAATAACAGAATATCGCAACAGCACGAACGCGAATCACCATTTGATGGATGGGCGGCTCCAGCAGTTGCCTTGGTAATTTGATTAGCATTTTTAAGGAGTTTGCATGTGTACGCACTCCACGGTAGAGTAATTGAAATCATAATTGATTTTCAACCAGGTTTAATGACACATCGTCAGCGGAAGCGTTCTGAAGAGCAACAGACGGAAATTGGGTTCCGCAATAAGTTTACAGTCAATCGAAGAAACGGGCAGTCCAAGTACAATAATGATTACGCAACCTAAAATTCGGCCACCAATTCGATAAACGCAGTCTAAATAATTGATGTGCACAAAATATATCAGCGGTAAGTTTAAATAGCAGAGTCGAATCAAATAAATGTCTCAAATTGAGTAGATTTGAATTAGAACTTACCTTTGCACAGCAGCATGGGAGATCAACCTTAGTTATTAATTTAGAAAAACTAGAGACATCTAGGAAAAAAAGAATTTTCTGTTAGCAAGAACCACCAGATAGTTTTGAGTAGGACCTTAGTCTCGACCACTCTAAGCATGCATGATTGGCCTAACAACGTTAATTTACGTCACTGCATATTTACGTCTACTCCGGACGTGGCCGAACACCACGCCTACATCTATACTTTATTTTTTACACCCTGTTTACAAGTTCAAAACAAATGCATAACGGCATTAACAGACACTCTTAGCCCTAATAGAAAAGTGTGGTGCTCCCAGATCATCAGGACAAAACTGTCACTGCAATGGCATGCCCCACCTCAGGAAATACTAATACTGTCTTCTACCGAGTTCAGTCTTAAATAGCCAGATTTACAGAACCGATCATCTTCCAGTGGGTACAACACTAGATTGAGCTCGTTTGAGCTCTGTCCCAGTGTTCCGGAATCTGAGTCTGATCAGAGTTGGATTTTCTGAGATGTCCTTTCACGTCCAAATGGTATTTACTGCACGATGATTGGTTGCGCTTTATGTTTTAACTTGCCAGTCTATCATAGAATAGCGTTTGAATTACTTTTTGTGCATAAAACGGAATGTTTGGGAGTAAACACAATGTGTTGCATTACTTTAAATGGCCTAGGGATGATGATAGATATGCTTATATTAGGTTGAAAGGCCAAGAGCCTTTGAAAAAGCGGCGAGTGAATAACAGAACATAAACAGTACTTCCTGATTTTACTTATAATTGTCCCAAAATAGCTCTGTTGATCAGTAAGCTGGGCACCAATACATCTGGAAGCATTAGTTATGGGTACCTGTGGGTTGAGCTGATGAGATTTACGTGATTTGATGTAGATTCTTTACAAAAGTCCTTGTGAGGACAAGGCCAACGAAAAGGGAATAATTAAAGCCACCTACGTATCCTTGAGAAGATACTGATTTACGCAGGCAGTGATGACTTTGAGAACTAAAGTACCGAACACCAAAACAATTAAGTTGCATTTACCATTCCACGTACTGTATTTTAATTAGCAGACATTAAAATCTACATCCACATGAATTTCCACAAGTAATTACACTTTTCCATTACCACTGGACTTCAAAGAAACAGACAGCTGATAGTCAGGCAGCTGAAACGGGTCCTTATGTCACCGGTGCCTGTTGGACAATCAGTCACAAACTTACACCATTAAGGTTGATCGATGATCTGCTCAAACACATTAGTGGAACTATTATTAAAGGTTTGTGTTAACTTTTCTTAGAAATTAATTTAGCAAACGCAAATAGGTCCAAAAATTTAGTTTTACGCCTCTAATGCAAAGAATCTACATCATTTTCAGTTGGGGGTTAGTTATAGGGGATAGGAAGCCTAGTTAGCTAGGCATTTAGATTTATGATTTTGCCACTGAATTTTGAATCCATGTATATGCATGTTTGCATGAATACTTCACTGCTTGACAAATCAAGCTTTACAACGATGGCTCGCAACTGCACTCCGAATTGAAGTCATGGAAATTTAGATTGTTCGTCCCATTTGTTGGGCTTATCTGCAAACATCCCACACAGAATGCACAGAAGTGCATCTTGTATGTTGGAGTTAGTCTTAGTATTTGATGCCTGTTTTTGGAAACACAGCTGATCTTGCACAGGGGGAGAAAACAAGTTGCCACATTGTTTATTGAAGTGCAGGTATTCAAGGATTAAAATGATTAGCAAAACAATTTGCCCTAGTTGTAACTCGAATGACGGGTCGCAGCAACAAAGAAGCGAAATCAGATAATTTTTTTGCAAAATATAAACTTGGATATGATTTTTCTCTAAAATATTCGAATGTGAGAGCGAAGGCAGCACTGTGTGGGACAGTCTGGCAGTCTACAAACGAACTCACACGAGCTGAGGCATGAGTGACACAATATTTATTGTCAGTGGACTTTTGTAGACTTTAGTGTATTATTGGTACATTTTAAATGGTGGCTACCTTCCAGAGAACGCATGAATTTTTGTCAAGATTATCTTGTGTCGATCACGATGCCCACATGTCAACTGCCTAATACCTACGGTCCACCTTTAAGAATTCCTGTTGGAGGAAAAGATTTGCCAATTCCTTTAACCAAAGTGACAGAGCTATGGGGATCAGCGAGGGAACAAGGTTTGCACAAATTTAGTCGATTTACCTGAATGCATTTTATGTAACTATGGTCTTTCTTTCAGAGCAACCCTTAACACACCTAACAACCACGCCCTCACTGTAACAATAAATTTGCTGAACTCCGCGTCACCTGCTGTCATTTCTTGGTCAGGCGTCGGCAACGTAGTTCCTCTGTCCCCTATGCCATTTGAGAACCACACCGGGGGCCACAACAATCACACACATGCATTCAAATAGCTTGGTTTTGGCTATTATGACTATCATATAATACTGGTCTTCAAGCATATTCCAGAGTTCGCAGCAGACGTAATGCTACTACGGATTAATAGCATCTACATGGTTATTTACCGGTCCTTGTGAGTTGCACAGCAAAAAGGTGTGGCAAAGCAGATACCTCCTATAATTTCGTGCATGAGAAATTCTGGCTTATTGCATTAGTACTGGCAGTGTCTTAGTAACTTCAACTTGATGGTACTAATCAAAGTTAGATAAAAATGCTGAAGACCTAAATCAGTGGTGTAAAATAACAACTCATATCTTCGTTGGTTGTGATTTAGCTAACGAACGAACGGCATAACGGTGAAAAATGCACAGCTAATCAATTTGATGCTTAGTAGCCGGTATTCGTATGAAGAAAATCATGCATCATTTTGCATGTTTACTAAAGAGGCTGTGTTGTAACAGAATCAAACACGACGTCTTCCAGTATGGCTGATATTAGATACCGATTTTACGCTACAATTACTCATTCTACGCAGCAGCACTTTCGTCAGTTAATATTTCAAATGACAATGCCAAAACCAAGTGAAGACCTTAACCAATTTTCAGTCTTATTAGGTACTAATAAGTGCAAATATAGTAGAGCATTGTGCTATTTGTATTATGTATTCAGACTGTGTAAAAGTGTTTGATTTACCAATCATTCATAGTTTGGCAACATCGGGAACAAAATTAAACTTCTCGGTTGTTAGTAAATTTTTAGGACAATTTTTGAAATAGCTGTGCAAGCAAATGCTTTGTCTCTTCACAAAAGGTTTTGGATCTACCCTTAATTTATTTTTTTGGGTGATTTACGTAACCCCATCTCGATCATTTTGCCCGGTGTGCAAAGTTTTGCTACAAGCTTTCAATGCTAGCGTCGTTAATTGTTCACAAAAGTCATTATGCGAAGGAACACAGTGTATTTTGGTAAAGAACTCATCCAACAATTTACTGGCGCCCGACGAAATCATGAGTAACAAAAGGAAAGGAAGGTGGTTGAGGTGAAACCGGCTGCAGTGTGCTGTGTGAGTTCGTGTGTACTTAAAGGCTCCGGGCGTGAAAGGAAATGAAATATCGACAGGTGATGCTAAATAACCGGTTTGTGGTCCAATTAAACGTGTTTTTTTTCAAATTCAAAGTGTCAATTAATGCCTAATTGAATTCTTTACTTTTGTCTGAGCACCAAGGAGCAGTAAATTAAACATTTTAGAAATAAACTAAATTAGCTTGAAACTGCGATTAGAACAGAGGTATTAATAAGAATCTACGGCACCAGAAAAAAATTGATGTGACCTTCAGTATTTGGTATCTGAACCTAGTTCTAGCTTTTTATAACACATAACAAGATCGAAGGAATGATTCCAATTTTCAAAAGGGTAAGGTGCATTGTGAAGATATTTGTATCGATGGTGGCCACATGTAAACGCTTCCGTACTTGAGCGGGATAAAAGAGCGATCTGATTTTTTAAAGAATAAATAGGGAGATTATAATCGAATGGCTACTTTCTTTCTTGAATGTCCCTCGTAGGTCACAGCTGATTTTTGTCAGCAAAACGTGTTATGGCTGTTTAAGTGTCTAAATGACGCATTGGTTAACATATGGAAATATGAGTATGCGTGAACAGGCCAGTCACAAATGTTTCACTCTACTTTAAGTCTAACCTTTGCAACTATTTGTTTGGGAACTTCAGCAAATTATAGAACCTTCTTTTAAGTCTCGTAAAGCATCGTTTATCAACTGTGTTTACATTTCTGAAATTTTACTGATGGTTCCAGTGAATGCATGCAAAGCCTGTGTGGCCAGTCTGATCAGGATTACGTTGCTTAGTTTGTTAATAAGTAAGTGATTTTAGATGCATCAACATTTTAAACCAAAATTCTTACAAAAAAATGCTGACTGTGTTGACAGTTTACAGTGAGTAGTCTTCTTTGAATTAGTTCCCTGAAGGTGAAGTCTGTCTGAAGTTAAAACGAAGGTAACTATAAGGCGTAGGGTTGGTTTAAATATTTATCATTCATTAACCATGATAACATCTTCACCTCTACCGTGTTTGGTAGAATTTGCAATACCTAAAATAATGCAAAATTATGTCGAAGGAAAGTTAAGTCAAATTACAAGTGCCCATTTGAATTATAGGATGTAAAATTAGTCGTAGCAAGCCACGGCGTCCTACCATTTAGCTTATTTTCAGGCAATCTTCAAGATCGTCCACTATTCTAAAGAA